TGCTTAAAGGAAGTTTCCGTTTCTCCTTTTTCTAATCTGCAGTTTAAAAAAAAAAAAAACAACTCTAGATAAAAACTTTTGGACCATAATTTTAAGCCTGTGACCAAACATCCTTCATGATGCAGCTCCATGTACAGACTTACTGGGATAGAGGTCCATAGGCTTTTTTGTGTGCGCCGTGGAATTGGACTCAGCATCGTGTCCGTGACCTTTGCCATCATCGTAGGTGCAGAACACTGCAAACAGAATGATGGTGATAATCTCCAAAGTCAAGGCCAAGATGGGGAACTTGAACCTCATGTTGGTGGCGTACGCAGGCATCCTGACACCGAGTGTTGGTTGGTTATCTCTCACACAGAGTGACACACACACACACCAGCACACACACGTCGCTAACTTGGTCGTCTTCACGGGGGTTGTGCTGTGTGGAGGGTGGGAAGAAAGTGGTGTCTGGTTTTAAACTGATGTCGATTTCTCAGTGACCAATGAAAGGGCAGAAAACTGAGGCCCTGGTTGGTTAACTCACACACACGCACACGCACTCACACACATGCTCCCGTGTGTGTGTCGTGGGGATGGGTTTCCTCCCTGGTCTTCGGCAGGAACAAAGCAAAACAAGAGCGTAATGACACTCATCCAGTGAACGGACGGGGGGGGAGGGTTAATGGCTCTGATTGGCCAACAACTCATTCTTCAAAGTCAGAAAAATCATTTATTTATTTATATTATATTATAGAGGAAAGACTTTAGAATGATTAGAGACTTTTTGGGGATTTTGCTTTTGGTCTGTTTTTTTCACTTTATTTAAGCTCGGGGCTTCGCCTCGTGTGATTTTGAGAGAGGTGACGATATGTAACCAATCACTGGCTGACCTCAGGCCACAGGGCTGTGGTGAGAACCAGCTGAAGGTTTAATCACTGCCAGCAACACATTTGTGTTTTTTCTTGAAATGAAAAGCATCAACGGATTTTTCCCAAAGCTTTTTGGATGAATTACTCCCAACTGTTGGGCGATGTGAAACACTCAGCTGTTACTCTGACTCCGCTCCACTAACGTACATAACACTGACGATGTTCTGTTAAAAGAAACGGGTGGAGCCACAGAGTCACTAACATTTAGAAGCAGACAGCCCATTTGAGGCAAAAAAACGTCCAGTTGCCCTCGATGTAACTATTTTTGGATATTAATTTAATTATTATTTTTTTTAACTTTTTTTTTTTTTAACCTTTGAAAGCCAGTGTTTCTTTTCTCAGCTGTAATCACTCAGGGACCTGACAGAGAGCATGAGAACTGTTTACTCAGTCAGGACCGTTAAATAACAGATAATACTCTTAGTCTCACATTTCTCAGTAGAGTCTCCCAGAGGTACCGCTGCACTTTAGAAGCCGCTGCTTGTCAGAGTTTCTCCTCTGGATTCCAGTGCCTTGATTAGAGCCAGGCCGAGGTTCTGGGAGGGAAGAGGACAAATTGTTCACTGCAAGTTAATGAGTTCACAGTATTTACAGTATCGTCCACCTGTACAAATACAAATACTTCTCTGGACCACATTTAAGGATTAATAATGGACTTTATATTTGCCTGGAGCAGTTAAGCCAATTCACTTCAGGTTCAGTCCAGCCGGCTAAATATAGCAGTTAGCACTTCTTACCTGTGGTGCTGTACATCTCCAACAACAGAGTGAAGAAATGTTGACATTTTTACTTAAATGAACAAATAGCTACATTCAGATTCACACCTCCATAATTAAAAAAAATGTTTCCTGTCACAGAAAAATTTACCTATAGAGTCTCTGCTAGTTATTTTTGCATCCTTTTAATTCCATTACTGCCACCTACTGGATCGATTTGCTACTAGTATTCAAGCTTCCAAATCAGTTTGGATCAGCAAAAATCTTTTTTTTTTAACAAAAATGGATATGACTACAAATATTTTAATTTATGTCCTCACAGATACCAAATACTGTCACAGAAACAAAACTCGTTGCCAAAGAAGGGGGAGGGTTTCATTTATTTATTTATTTTTTTTAAGGTTCAGTTATTTGTAGAAAGGTCAAGTAAACCAGAGCAGAGAGAAAATAAATGTTGAATGTACTATTGTCAGGATAAATGTTATAATTGCCTGACTAAAACTATTATGATATCGAGTTGACTAAAACTAAATACTGTGTTAACTAAACTAAATGTAAACTAAATGCCGGTGTAAAGCACAGAGTTTTGTAAGGTAAACAATCAGACCTAAATATGATCTGGGCTTTGTTTCGGTTCTTCCACGTGTCGTTATGTAACGGTCACGGCTTCTCAAACGCCTCTGACAAAATCAGGCGTACCGCACAGCTGTTACTGTACTGGCTGATGTGCAGCCGCGGTCCATCTGCGTGGCAGCACAGTCTGTGTCGGGGATCAAAGGGTGATGGAGCGGGATGATAGACGACCTGTACCGACAGGACGTTCCTGGAAAGGTATTCATCTGCTTCATAGAAACGTTAAAGCGGGGATCGCTCCGTGGTCTCGTCAAATTTTTTCTTCTCTCAAGTGCTTTTTCATGAAGCTCTTTATATCATGGGGGTTCTGGATTTCTGTCATATCTAGTCATAGGACAGAATGGAGGAGGCGTCAGTGTGAATCCTGCAGCTGCTCTGATGCTGTTTCTCATTTACACTCCACATACATCACTATCCTCCTCACACACCAGCTCCTTATCACTGCTAATGCAGAGGAGTATGTCTTCCTGATGACCCGTCTGTCCACACTTCATGACCTCTGCTCCTGGAGCTGCACGCATGCACGCACGGTCTCTGATTGGCTGCTCGTGAGCTGCATTCCTCAGTTTCTCCAGAGCCTCAACCATAAAGATGTAACATGTGTATGATGAGAAACAGAGACCAGTGGTGGACGAAACACAGGCATGTTCTCGACATGAATCAACACTGGCCCCTGTTGCATCACAGGGTGGGGCCACTGGACCTCATCATGCACTTGGCTACATCTAAAAGCAAAGTGTGCAATAATCCAGCTTGATTCATGAGGCCGATAGGTTTGAATATATATGTTAACTTTCCCTCCATGTGTCTGGACACTTTGAAGATTTCAAACGCACCCATTGGGAATTCCTGTTCTTTTTTAATTTGTTGCAGCCTTACGACGGCACTCCACATCCTTCAGATTACCACTGCTTGTCTCTGAGTAACAGGTGAGTGTTACTCACAGGCTCCACCCCCTAAGGGAGGGGTTAGGTTTTTAAATAATAATACTTTTTAAGCCATTTTACTTACTGCACTTTGCACTTGTTTAATATGATATTAAAACATGTGTTTTTCAGTGCGTAGGTCTCTGGCCTAAGGACCGGTGGTCTACATGAGCAGTCCCCAACCTTTTGTGTACCAAGGACCCTCCAGCTCGTACTGCACACTGGTATCACCGCACCAATTGTTGAGCATTGGTACATTTAAAAAAAAAAAAAAATTTTTAGACTTTATTCTGTTGGTATCGTAGTCTGAAAGATTTGCTATTTTGATAATTTGACAAATTAATTTTAAATGAAGAAAGTAAAGGAATCAGAATTCTCCTTGAATTCAGTAAATTATTCATTCTTCCCTATGGCCCTGTACCAAATGATCCACGGACCTGTAATGGCCCATGAACCAGGGGTTGGGAATATTTAAATGACTGGAGTGTACTACAGTACATCAAGACACAGAGTCACTGTTACCGTTTGACGTCTTGTTCAGGTCCCGCTGGTGAAAAGGTGATCTGTTAGAACACGTCAGCGTCACTGCTCCCACCTTTTCCCCTGAATCATAGTTAAAAATAATGTAGCATGTCACAGGACATGAGTGGCTGCTGCAGTGTTAAAGTCAAGGACACTCTGCCAGGTGTGAACGCTGATTATACAGCAGTTAGGAAACAGCTTCTGTGTTCACTGGAGTGAGTCTCCGTCCTTACACACACACAGGCCGACTGTAAAAACCCTGCACCTTTCATGCACGGGGGGAATGAGTTTTCACTGCTCTTCCTTCTGTAAAATGATCCTTTCACTCTGACCCTGCAAGTTTTATGAAGATTAGTAAAAAGTAAAATAGTAAAAAATGTTACCTATTATTACACCAACATGGTATAAAATATAGTGCAGAGTAAAAAATGTGCACAGCCTCTGGGTTTGAAAGGTGAAGTCTGTAAAGTGAGGCAGAAATGCAGTGAAACAACAGGAGGCTAATCTGCCGGTGGCTAAAACTCAAACCAGACATGAGGGGTTTGGTTACAGGCAACTGCTGTGAATGTTCACTTTTTACTGTTATTTTTCTGGTCAAACTGCGCCTCCTGTGGCTGGAGATGGTTTTGTGAAGTTTGCTCTAGAGTCTAGACCTACAAAAACTGTAAAGTAAAAAAAACTGCTGGAAAAAAAAGAAGAAGACACTGCATAGCCAATAATTCTAAGTCTAGACTTACAAAAAATGTAAAGTAAAAAAACTGCTGAAAAAAAAAGAAGACACTGCATAGGTAATAATTCTGATGCGAGCATGTATTTGCAGTACTTACTTTGACCACTATGCAACGCTGTGGCGCCGGCAAATTCTTCACAATGGGTTTTTACCTGAACAAAAGAAGATGTGGAAAATTAGTGATAAAATATCACATTTTAAGAGAAGCAAAATATTTCATTCATGAGAAAAGCAGCGACTGTTCACTCACAGCAGCTAAACTACTTTCTTCAAGTCAGTTGTTGCAGCTGTTTTTGCCAATAGCTAGAAATATTTCTATTACTATTCCTCGTGTCATGTGACTCAAAATTATTTTTTATGAACTTTTATGAACTACATCATTTTCTCAGACTCAGCCTGAGTGGCTGTGGACACACGGCAGCATCTGGTTTTGCACGCGGCTGCAGATGCTGTGCTATTTGAAGCTGCGTGCGCTCTAATGGTGAACAGGTGTCCCCAGGATTGAGTTCTGCGTCCCTCTGCCTGACTGTGGCATCAGTCAGTGCTGGGTGTGGACACAAGTGTGTGTGTGTGTCTGTGTGTGTGTGTGCCCAGTGTGAACTCTGTAGCAGCAGGGACATGTGTGTCAAACATGATACATGTGCCAAAAGTCTTTGGCGTTCTCTTCCGTGACTGGACTAAGACGTACAGTAACTGAGCCTGCAAAGTTATTTACACTTTTTTTTAAGACGTATTTGAATTTTGCGCTATTTTCACCCACAGCAGAATAGACAAATTCTAACAGTATTTGGAAAAAGAGTTGAGCTTCAAGACTTAGATTCTGTATAGATTTTGATTTGATTGAATTCCACATAAATACAAATGGATTCTTGATGTATACAAGTCCATTTTAAGCCAGGCCTACGTTCAGTAGTCACAGAATGCAGACACTTTCCAGTTGTTACAGCAGGCAGAACAGTGGTTGTGGCTAAGGCGGGGCTATAGTGTAGTTTTCCTGCAGCGTCGTGGGACCGCTCCTATCTTTTTCACACAAAGATAAATCTCAGCTCGACTTCATCATTTTAGCAATTACAAAGATAACTGGGACAGACAGTAATCCCAGGCCACTGGAGGTATGAGAGGAACGGTACAGCTTTAATTCTGATGTTTGTTATGTCAATGAAAGTGACAGAAAACGGTGTGTGTGGAGTCATGAGCATCATTTTCACTGCTCCTGAAACACACTACAGCCGTAGACTTACTGACTAGGGGTGTGTTTTGGCAAGAACCGTGTATTACAATACAATAGACATGACGTTAGATTGAGTTTTTAACTGTAGTCACACGGTCAAACATCAGGTCACTAAGACTGGAACAGAGCGAGCTACATTTGGAATCACTGGAGAAGAAAGAAAAGAAAAATGAAATGAATAAAAAGACTAATACAGTGCTGTAGAATATCGATACAGTTAAAATGTAATTCGATGAAATGGTTGTTAGTATTGATAGCCCTAACTTTAATATAAAAAGTTTTACTTTAGCATAAAAACAAAATCTATCCAGCCTCAAAGAACCAGCTACACACAACAGTGAGGTAAAACACTAAGAGCTACTTCCTCTGCAGTACTTCCTGTCCAAGCTAATGCTGGAGCCTCACTGCAGCCCAGTTGTAATTGCACTATCTATCTAGTGCGGGCCTCTTTAAAGGGGATGTCTAATTGAGGTCGGTGGCCGCACCCTTTCCTCCTGTGGCAATCAACCTGCCACCTTATCAGCCACATCTGAATAAAAACTAAGAATGATTGGGCCACAGCCCAGGACGTCCACAGAAAAAGGGAAAACAAAGGAGGAGGAGTGGGTTAAGAAGAAGAGAAAAAAACAACAACACAACGGAGAAAACATCCTGAGCCAAACGAGCCAGGGAGTGGGCTTCAAATGCACAGGATGTAGAGATTGGAGGTTCAGGGCTCGTCAGTGAGGGGGGAGAAAAGGAAGCAGGGGGTGAGGGGGGAGGAGGGGGAAGAAAATGA